GGACTGACTTCAGTGTGCAGAGACCCTTAAATATTTGCATAGTAGGTACAAATATAATTCACGCTAAGTTAATGAAGTGGGCGCGGGTCGAGCGCGTCGGGTTATCATTGGCCATTCGCCACGTTATGGTAAGTGTAGGGACTAGGGTGGAATGGATTCGAGTAAGAATAGAAATAAAAGAAGGAAGAGATAAACTATTTAATTAATACATTGGCTTTGCATAGAATTCGATTGTTCTTTTGCCTTTGGAAATACTTTTTAAAATCAATCATTTTTTTTAAACCACATGTTCGTCTCTTTGTCTCTCTCATTATAAACCTCTCGACTCCTTTAATGAAAGAAATGAAAATTGTTTGAGTTTTTGTTAGTCTAAGCAGTAAGTAATTACATAGGTACTTAAGCGAAAAATAGATTTCGCTTTGTAATGAAAGATGGCTGCGGCATTATGTTGCACCGCAGTATTGCAACAAAAAGTTGTGCGCGTTTTTAGCGGCAAAGCCACCGTAACGGAGAAAAGTCTAAAAAAATTACAACTTGTTTACGGTGCAGTGGTTGATCGTCTATTTGTAACATAGGTACATACATATAATACTGCGGTGCAATATTGTGCCACAGTGTTTTTTCGGTGCGCGGCGAAACTTAGGTTTGTAAAATGATTCATTTTACGGATAATGGTGTCCGTAATATCCGCGGTATTGTGTTCGTGCGCCGACTTCGCTGAGTCACTCATTGTTCACACGGGGGTCGCGGGCCGCGGCTCGCGGGTCAACCACGCTCCGCTCCGGACTGCTTGGGGATCGATTCCTCTCTGTTTACTATATCATTGCGAGCGCATTTTTATTTGAAATCTATGTAAGATAATTAATTGTAAAGATGTTCCATTTGTTTTGGAACAAAACGCTAGATCTCCTTTAATTTTTTTTTAAATATCCCCAGTCTTCCTTGGCTGTTCTTGTTCGTTTTAATTTATCCTATTTGCACTAGATGGCACTAATTAATCTTTAATCTCGTAAAAATTGGCTTTTATAAATAAATACATATGCACATATATATTAAATATTTTTTAAATTTTACGTTTGTAAATCTAATGAATTCGAATGAAAATTCTGACAACTTTATCACCTGACATGTAGAAATGAAAAATATTTTTAGAACGTTTCATTATTTTTTATTTAACGCCCATACGGCATATTGTTATTAATTCTGAATTTTATTTTATCTGTAAAATATAAAAAATAACAGTCAATTATTGTAATATAATAATATACCTACTCCTACAGAAAATGAAAAAATCATACAAGAGCTAATAATAATCATAAAAAAGTCTATTCTGATAATGAAAATAACATTTATTGTACAGATCTCCCCTCGCCATGGGAAAGTGCGGTAATCAATCTAATGCGTTTAACCCACAGACATTATAGGTTATATTGTCTGTGGTATAACCCATCTAATACATTTCTATTAACTGCTGCCCTCAAACACTTTGCAAACATTTGTCGATGAGCAACAAGTGAGCGCCCACTTGTCGCGGACGCGAATTAATATATCACTTTCAAAAAACCATTGTGTTTTGATCGCGCCATTTTGCGAGGGTCCTTTACAATGTACTTCGGGGCAGGTTTTTTTAACGTCAGCTGCGCAAGTGTCTATTGTCTGTGGTTTGACAAAAATGGGATTAAATTGTTTTTAATCTATTTTATCTATGCCATACGGCTAGATTTGGCGGGAAATATAGGGACTAGGGGTAGGGAGTGATGGATTACACAAGGGTAGTTACTAGATATCATGTTATTTTTATTGTAACTGCTTAGTGTGCTTCTAATAATTATCTAACTAATAATAATTGTTGTTTTTTAATTGTAGGTGTTCATGAAAAATCCTAGTGCTGATGAATAAACAATTTTATCTATAAGGATCAAGATTCAATAATTTAATTTTTCTCGTAGATCTACTTACTATTTTTAAATATATGTATTTATATGCAGTCCATATGGAGAGTAAATATCTGTATGGGTCATAAAGATATTTTCCAATCATTTAAAAGCGAAAAGAAGATGGCACATTTTCTGTGTCGAACATAAAAAAGTTACTAAGCTAACAACTAACAGATCGACGTAATAATAAAAAGTATAATTCGACATTCGGTCTGTACACAACACACATGTGCGATCAATTGCCGCAATCCCCTCGTAAGTTAATCTGTATATTCATTAGATGTTATTGTATTTAATGGAGCATCCAGCGTGAAATCGCATCTAACGCTTCACTCGTAAATTCGATTATATTCGATTATGTAGTGTGGAGCGTATCGATTTACGCTACCGTTAGTTATCGATGGCGAGAAGTCGTGACCAATGCAGTAATTTAGATTTTGAACTGTGCCGTAACTCTTTTATTTACGTCCGACACTACCGAGTTACTTGCCACGATACGTTTCTACCTCTCGCCAGCAACTTGCGCGCACGCAACGGTTCTACACTATATTATTTAGATTTTAGACGTGTTCGGGGCTGTACTAATAACTATTAGCGCCCAGTCTAATTGGCAGCCTGAAGATTAGCATCAAAGTTTCTGCAAGTTCAAATTGTTAATTAAATTTGTGTATATTAGAATTATCGAATTTGCTTCATTTTCTCTCTCTAACTCTAAAGTTACGGACAATATTTTAAGATATGAATATCTAATAGGTAAATATGTATTTTACGTATATTAGATTTCCTATGCGTCGGCTGGCACCGAATTCGAAAATATCTGATTAGGTATCTATTCTAAATCCCATAAACCCCCGTTTAGTTATTTTTTACATTTTAGTGTCTGGAAATCGTTTTTTTTTTAAGTTTTTATTTTAATCTCTTTTTACATTTTAATTAAGATTGTAACTAAGTAGCGCTTACTTAGTTGCAATTTTATTTAAAATGAAAAGCATTCGATAACAATTACCTACATTTCAAACTAACCGCATACTCGCTGCAGACCGGAGACAAAGCTATTTCACCGCTCGGGTCACAAGTTCAAATCCATTTGCTGAGCTCGAGATGTTTATACTCTTAAAGGCTTTACATGTCTCCTCCGTGGACAGGCACATGAGCTTAATTAGCAAGAAAATAGAAATCAATTTTTATATTAATAGTATCATTAACATAACGTAAATTTGTAAGTGTGCCTGATTTTCTTTTATGTCTTAAACGGTTTATTGTTAATTCTCATAAACTAGAGTAGTATATAAGGTGGCTCATTATATACATACGGTTAATGTCCGCGCTAGGAAAATCAAGTGAAGTGGGTTTGAATCCTGAGTCTCGAACATCGTTATATTAACATGTAAAGCAATCCTAACACCTTACTCCTAACCTTACAGTAAAGTAGTATAAAAAAAACAATTTACGAAAAACGTGAAGTCTGCCAACCCATAGTTGCCAGTGTGCTGGGCTATGGCGTATATTCTCTCTACCATTGAGGGTAGGTCCGTGCTCGGCGAGGATGTTGAAAAGGCTTGAAATATTATTTCATTAAAATTAGAATTTACTTTATTTTCTATTCATCAAGAACTGCTTGCATTCGTTAGGTATAAGTTAAAGGTTGTTACAAACTATTTTGACTGTGTTTCATGAAAAGATCAATATCTTTATTGAAATCTTGTAAAACCTTAAGTCATAGCTTGATCTGTACAAGGGTGCAACTGCCACTGCGGACTTGACCAGTGTTCAGAGTACTACTCATCAAATTCAAAATAAGTATATTTAGAAAACAGTTGCTGTAAGAATTATGAACGCTATATTTATATAAATAACACATATTTCATGAAACTAACTTAGGTCTTATGCAATTTACTAGCATTTCAGTAATTACATAACGCCTGATTCATATAATCTTAATATAATCCCTAGATATATAGCGATGCGATGAAGCCTGCCCTAATGGCATTTGCGTGATTAACGGCCAGGCAAAGATAGTTTCTTATAAAGTAGTCTGATAATCTGGCAATAACTCGTCGTTTCCGTCGGTCACGATGTTCGTTAGGTGTGAAACGTTAGTAACAAGCGGCCGATGTAGAGATAGTGCATACGTTTTCATGTCACACGCGAGCTCCGCTGACCCGCGATGTAGCTTGCCCTTACAAATAAGGTTTACTGTTAATGAAGTAATGGTAATGAGGAGATACGAGCTTATAAAACTGTAGGTACTTTATTTGCTTCGTGAATAAACTAATGATTACTACTGGCTTCTTCCAGGGCGAAAAATACGTGGTTAATTCGTTCATGGTACATACATACATTTACTTTTACATGCATTCAGACTAATAGGTATATCCTATGTTATCCGATATACTCGTAGTTTGTATACTGATTTCTTTTCTGTCATCTATACATACCTATAATAAAATTGTAACTAAGTCGATTCTGTACATTAAATATTTTTTGGAAAATCTCGATCGAATCTATAGTTTTTAGAATTTTTGTCTGTCTGTCTGTCTATCTGTTACTGCATCACGGCAAAACCACTGGGGGGATTTTGATGAAATTTGTTATGATGATAGCTGGTTATCCGGGTCAACATAAAGGATACTTTTTACCGCGGGAAAACATCTCATTTCTCAGAATAAATACAAAAACTGCAATGTAAGAGTATACTAATATGTAAAACCTAAGAATTTGGTTTTTGGTCATCTGAACGCGGGCGGAGCCGCGGACAGTGCTAGTTCAATAATATATGTAGTTCGCATCTGGGTGCATCTAGTGGTGTAATGTATTCATGACTGACATTCATTATTTACATCATTCACATTATTCTTTGTTCACAGTATGATATCTCAGTAATACATTACGTGACCGAGATACTGTTCAACTATCTCCCATTCGACGGAGGTCTTCACTTAAAAAGTTAATTTAAATAACGTTGAAGCGATTGTTTAATATTAATTCGTATAAGAAGGAAGCGTGCATCAGATCTTAAGAAGGAGCAATAAAAACTCTTATCTCTGTTTACTTGTTTGGAAAATGGTTAGTTCTCATCGTGCGCAGGCGCAGGCGCAGGCGCAGTGGTGGGCCGCGCCCGGAATAATATATGAGCCCCGGTAATTATGTTAATTATCAAAACTTTTAAGCTTTCACATAATTGGGCCATCTCTCCACTCGTAGAGTCAGCGTGTAATCGGGGAATGGCTTTATTTACTTATCGTTGTATAATTTGAAGGGCGGTAGGGCCCTTAAGATATTTATATTGAAACTATCTTTAAGGATATAGTTACGGTACATCAAATAATCTATACTGCTAGTTAATAAATTCTATTGAATACCAGCAAACCGTTGTAGTAATGTCGTAAATTTTATTTATTAATATAAAATACCTATACCTACCTACTTATAATTAAAAAAAATTATGTAAGATATTTCAATCTGAAAATATGACGAATTTGACCTAAATAATAGCCAAATTTAAAATATAAGGAGAGCAGGTAATTAAAATTATAATATACTAGCATAGCCCGCGGCTCCGCCCGCATTCATATATCTAAAAACCAAATTCTTAGGTTTTACTTATTACTTTACTCTTATTTTGCAGTTTTTGTATTTTTTCTCAGAAATGAAATATTTTCCCGCGGTAAAAAGTATCCTATATGTTGATCCGGATAACCAGTTATCACTGTACCAAATATCATCAAAATCCTCCAGTGGCTTTTCTGTGATGCGGTAACAGGCAGACATACAGACAGACAGACAGACAAAAATTCTAAGAACTAGGTATAGATTCGGCCTCTGTATCGATAATAATGTTTATTTCAATAAGATTTTTCAAAAAATATCTAATGTACAGATTCGGCTTAGTTACAATTTTATTATATGTACCTATAGACTTTTTGAATCCATACATTTATTGAAAGTAAAGCTTCAGAGATAATAAACACTAATAAAAAGTAAATGCAACGTTCGTATCTCACGAGCAAGAATCTTGTGTATGCAAAATAACACTTAAAAACCCATCAAAACCGCTCTACAACCATAAAACTACATTCGACTTCTGATCGGTATCGGGCTGAAGATTTACACTATAAAATAATACCAGGTTTATTTCTTATGGAATACCAACTCTTCTACCATGTTATATATATTTTGTTGTTTCTAAAGGTTAAATAAAACCATGTGCCTTAAAAGCCCTAATTCAGCGTAAAATTTTTTTGCAATTAACATTGAAAGAACAAAACATATTATTAGCAAATAATGTATTTATATTTAAATCTGACTGATTCCAAAGATTAGCGCATTCTCAACAAATATTAAAAAAAAACAATATGTATCTTCAGAGTTATATTGCTAGAATTCATTTATCTGTAATTGCTACACTCCTAATAATCGTACCGTGATGCGAGATGCGAGATGACCGCCTTCAAAAAATGTATACATATAATAAAATTGTAAGTAAGCCGAATCTGTACATTAAATATTTTTTGGAAAATCTTATTGAAATAAACATTATTATTGATACATAGGCCGAATCTATAGTTTTTAACGTTTTTGTCTGTCTGTCTGTTACCGCATCACAGAAAAAGCACTGGAGGGATTGTGATGAAATTTGGTATGGTGATAGCTGGTTATCCGGGTCAACATATAGAATACTTTTTACCGCAGGAAAATGTCTCATTTCTGAGAAAAAATACAAAAACTGCAATGTAAGAGTATACTATATGTAAAACCTAAGAATTTGGTTTTTGGTCATCTGAACGCGGGCGGAGCCGCGGGCAATGCTAGTAAGTTATAAAATGCAAAAAGATGTATAGGTAATGCAAATAGGATCGTTCTAAGATTAGCGCGTTCAAAGAAACAGAAAACAAAATTCATATTATACCTATCTATTAATAAAATACATGAAATAAGTAATTTTGTGCACGGTTTGATTCACTAGTTACTATGAACATATGTACATAAACTTACATATATTTACTGTAGTATTGTTCATTTATAATTTCTAATTTAACAGCTTTTCTATGGACAATAAATTTAGTGGACATAATTAAGGGACGTCCAAGTGTAATTGAAACTTTTAGTGAAGATACGACGCATTACATTTACATAGCCCCGGGCCTCGGCATCAGTATGCTAATCTGATCCACAGTTGATTGAAGTAGGGTTCGCAGCTCGAAGAAACTGCGTCTAAGCTTTCAATCTGAAAGTTTTAGACATTAACACGCAAGATATAAATCTGCAATTAAATAAAACATAGTATTTTTATTTCTGTACTAGCTCTTACTTGGTATTGGTTTTATTTTATTAAAATTTAACGTATTTAAACAGTTAACATTTAAATAACAGCAAGTCACCTGGCAACCCTAATGAGGTTAGAGGGCGCAGGGAGGAGGGAGAACGTGGATTCGCCCACGCGACAAATAAGTCGTTACGATTTGATTGGTATTTTTATTGGACCCCTATCTCGATGCTTAGTCCTTAAACTGCTTTGAAACGCCGCGCCTACAGTTACTTACAATCAGGATTTAGTCCGGCTTGTTCCTATCAATATTGATTTATAGATAGTGGGATCGGATTTGAGTTAGATTTTCTCTATAAAACGGGGCCTTATATTTAAATGTTGATAATATTATTATATTTTGTTGTGACGTAATATAATTGGTATAAGAAAGTGTTTCTACTCGTATCTAGTTTTGTATCACGTCAAATAGGTATATCGTTTAATATGCATCGTAACCGTCGCTTTTTCCCATTTTTATTCCCATATATTTTTATACATTATTCTTCAACAATTGTAGAATAACATTTTGTGTAAGCCCGAGGATCGCTAGATTTGGGGCTTCTTAGCGATCCCAGAACAGACTTCTACAGAAGCAGATTACCTTATTCGCCTTTACTTTTAATTGTAGATACAATATGTTTTGTATATCGTAGAAGGTACGATCAGAATTAATGACATTTCAATAAATTATAGATAATTATACGAGAGCATTACTTAACTAGTGACTTTTAAATTCACAATCAAACATGTCAGTTTAATTTATACTCAGCACTCTCGTATGAAAAGATGATAAATCAACGTTTTATGTTTAAAGTAAATCTTTTGTAAAAATGACTAAAACGTATGTATATCTTCGAGTAAACAATTATAAGACGAAGTTATTAATAGAGATATTTATATGATACAACAGAAATATGAACAACAAGAAAATCCCCCGGTCTGTAGTTACAGCGGCATAATTCATTACAAAATCTCGCTTTACTCGCAGCCGTAACTCGAGTACTTGCACAAAGCGCAGGCAACAGAAGTATTGGAAATAGCGCACAATCGTGTATTGCGGGCTTCGAGTAGATCTTAAATAGAGCAAAGTTAAGACTCATCGCGCATCTCTACCGGGGGTGATGGTGCAGCTGGATGCAGGGGAGGAGGGGGAGGGGCGAGGACAGCGGGCATCCGTGACAGATTGCCAGCGAATCTGCTCAGTTGTAATTTCAAATATAAATACCACGATGTTTGGAAATTGTGGACAAACGAAATCTTGACAAATGTTTTTTAATTAACACAAAATCAACAAGTAATATTTGTTACCATATATAATTAATATTTTCTAAAATTATTATAATAAAATTTATAATATGTTGTTTTTAAAATCGCTTATGAATTTGTCCGACTTTAAATAACTCTGATGTCTGCGCAAGTAAAATACCTACTATGGCGAAGATGTCATAATGTAAACATGTATTTTTTACCTTCACGTGAAAGATGTTTCCAAAAATCAATAAAATATAGTTCTAAAATACACAGAAGCATTCAATATAATTACCACCTTCTAAATACGTGATATATGGCTGAACAGGCCACTGCCTCAAACAGCTACCGATGTTCATGCACAAAGCTCAGGTACACTTGTAAATAAATTAACTATATTCATCACATCATTACAAGGGCTTATATCAAATCACGATGTAACGTATTCATCAGTCTTAACGCGATGAGAATCGAACTCCGGACCTTCGATGATTAGGAAAGTTTATAGTCTCCTTTATCGTTAATGATAGGTATAAAATAGTACCCATTAAAGGTAACGGCAGGTGTTCGAGTCGCGGCGTCGCGATCGTATAAATCTAGTGATTGTGTTCGACGGACTTGGTGACGTCCCAATTTACTGTACATATATTTATTTTTGGGAATGTCATGTAATCTGATTAGAATTTGTTGGAGCTAACGATGCGGAGACAAATGGCGCTCGTTTGTGCTGCGCCCGCGCCGGTGGAATTGATCGCCTGTCGATAAGTTTTTTATGCTGGGATTTAGGCGTGTTGAAATCGTGTGTTGTCGCCTTGTAAGGGATGTTAGACTAATGTGAAAATTATATTATTACATAGTGAGCAGTGCGGTGTTGATCTTTAACAGATAAAGGGAACCAATAAATATGTTTTTTTTTTAAATAATAGTTGAATAGAAAAAGAAGAAGAAATTATCGAAACGAACAATAAACTGTTGCATGCGTGTATTGTGCAATGATAATATAATGCATAGCAACTAGTTTAATTTGTTATCTTAAAAATACCATATTAGGTAGGCACGTTCATTCATTTAACTCGTTTGGTTTAACATTTAAAACTTACATCTATAAATATAATATATATCTACTATAAAGTCTTTTTAACCCTTAACTTCTTGGTAATTGAAGAAACTGCTCCAGTATCAATTTCCTGCTGTCATAGCTCTGTTAGTAGAATTATAGTAATTACAAAATACGGGATATTTTAGTTTCCTCAACTAGTGAATAAATAATAAATATTAAAATGTAATTTGAAAGTGACATGGTCATCCCACAGCGTGTTGGGGCAGGGAGCAAAATGAAAAGCCTCATACATTACAGCGCAGGCGCGCGTGACGAGCGACCGCGCGCCGTCACGACCCGAGCGTCGTGTCGCACCGCACCGTGCCGTCCGGTACGGTGGGTAACTGTTGATACCACCACAGCATAAAACTCCATACAGTAGACGATCATCTATAGATTTTAAAGAAAACACTCAAATGCAAGGGTTGCCAAAAATACCAATTTTCATGGCGAATGGTTTCGATGTTTGTCATCTCGTGGCAAGTTACAGTTATATGTACTTCTAAAAAGCTAAAGCTGGTTCCCAACTGTTTTATTAGACTAAGTATGACAGTCGGGTGCGCTTAACTTGCAGGTCCCTCCCGCCCCGCAGGTTTACGCTGTCTAGTCGCCTTTGTTAGAGGACACTATGGATAAGTGAACTGTGGTATTGCTAATGATCTACTGCATATACCTATATGTTGATTCTAAGTTGGGCTGTGATGATCTACAGGTGTATGCTCGGGGTATAATACTTAATATTGTATGGGATGCGAAAGCTGAACAAAATGTCAAAATCTACAAATACATAGACATAAAAATAAAGTTAATGTCTAAAGTTTTAAATAAAATTGTAATAAATATAAGCTACTTATTATCGTACCTAATGCGTGAACAGTTTTCATTGTGAATGAGTCATGAATGACATGAATTTTCTAAAATTTACTTTTTACAAAATACCTTACAAATACATTTTATATTGAAAGTACTAAATTCTCACCCGTCATTCTTGATAATATAAATGAGACTGTTTATAAGTAATTTATCTCGCGCTATTCTTTAACTTAGATATTCGTGATGGCAACATCGACTCGTGACCACCGACCGGCGCGGTTGCTGCAGGAGTCGAAGAAGTTATTTCCATCATTTACTTCAGATATTAAATATTAAGTTACGATCCAGTTGTGTAATAACAAAGAGTGTAAAGGTCGGGCGTGGCGTGAGGCGCGCTCGTTTGTCCGCGCGATTTATTGCCGATGCGTCGCCGATACAGCGTATTGTACCAGCAGTGATCGCTGGTCACCGATCATATTAATAAGCTAGCTGCTATTCACATTTTTTTCTCTAAAATTATGCTTCTTGATAAAATATTACCCCAAGTAATTGTGAGTTTTGTATTCAGATTTCAGTGCAATTCATCAAGGGAAATTAATTCAAATAAAAACTATATTTTAATTTAATAATATACTGTAAGTAAAGGAAAATGAAATAATATATACTTATATCACCGTAAGTATGATAAAAAAAATTAGCCATTAAGTAATAAGCATTTTCTGCGTTTTCATAGATGGCGCTGATTGCATTTTATGAGTAGTTTATTACGCTTATAAATAGTAAAGTCGCTTAAGTTTGGTTTGTTTCACATTTTGTTACATTATTGGCTTCAAAATTATTGCAAATATATTTAGTTGATATTTTTGGTCATTTAATAGTGATTCCAATATTTTTCCTTATTTTAACTGAAGTATTTATTTATACTTAATATAAAACATATTATATACCGTATGAGAATCTGTGTGATCTATAGCCTTTGGCAAGATGTTCTAAAGTAAGGAATCTCGAGGTTCTCTGAAAGGACATTTGTGGCAAAGTTATTGCGAATTGCGCGAGATAATTTTATTTTATAAATGTAATACGCAATTTGTCGCAGGAGCAGCGTCGTAGGCTCTTGTATCTATTAAGCCGTGTACGCACTAATAGGCTATATAAATGTTCGAAAGTGTACTGATTTATCTTAGTTAATTTACTGCGTGCGACTGCGGGCCGGGCGATACCGTCGCGGGCGCGAGTGGGACCAATCCGTGGCAAGTACAAGCATCGTATTTCTCTCCTTTCCTATTTTAAAATAGTGAAACGGCACTCAGTAGAGGTTTATTGTACTAAAGTTTAGTTCAATCAACTAAATAGTAAGTTTATCATCAACTATTAAAGTTATTTGTGCGTAATTATACTTAAACGCAATTTCGAAGTGTATTTTATTTTAAACTATCGTTTTCCTGCGGCTCCGCCCGCATATATCATATACTAAGACCTTCTGCAACGCTGCATCCTATGGTATGAGTACTATTATGATTGGTTCAGTAGTTATCGCAGTATAACCGAACAAAAATATCGGCTCTCCATTTATTAGCATATTTTAGTTGTCAAATTCAAAGAATCGATGTGCAGTCCTGGTAAAACGAGCTTGCTAGAATTAGAACAATAAGATAATGTTTTTGATGATCCATACTAATATTATAAATTCGAAAGTTTGTGAGGTTGCATGGTTGGATGTTTGTTACTCTTTCACGCCAGAACGGCTGTACGGATCTGGATGAAATTTGGTACAGAGGCACATTTTATGCCGGAAAAAAGTATGGTTTCCGTGGGGTAGGTTTGTTTTTGTCTAGGGATAAACCCTAAGGGAAGCGAGGTTGAGTCGGTAGAGTAAAATAAATCTATTTTTTTCTTAAGTAAAAATTTCTTGAGAAATTCAAATACACATATTTTTTTTTTCTTTTAATTAAAAAATTAACATAATCGATAGATCACTTACATGTAGGCATGTTCTATTACTTCTACCCCAGGTACATATATCTTAATCTTAGGTAATGATAATATTGATATGAATTAAACCGTAAAGCAATTATTGACTTGATATCATTAAAGTGCTTCAAACAAACCACTCACCCACTCGCAGACGCAACGTAGTCTACAAATCAAACTCTAACTCGCAGTCGGAGTGATCTGCGCTATGATAAGCTATGATTGCTACAACTCCTGTACTCATTAGGTACGTCTTAGAGAATCGTTTAATTATTAATTGTGATTTATTACTTCTGTACTTGGGTTTAATTAGGATAGAGTAGTATGATTTGTAATTATAATCGCTAGAGACGGTTATTATGTTGTATACGATCAAATTAAAATAACTCTTTTACGTTTTAGTTTTTATAATTAGTATTATTAATAGTGAGTATAAAATTAAATCAGAATAAAAAATGGGAATCTTTGAAGTCATCTACCAATAGATGGCGCCTTAAAATTTTATGTAGATACTCTTGAAGCATATTGTTGGCAATGTTTATAAAAATATGTGCATATATTTGTTAAAAGCCAGCGTAAATTAATATTTACATAAGTAGGAAGGTGGCGAGTCACTACGATCTCTTCTTATCGCGAACTTACGAATTGATGCTATGAATTGATAAAATTTGCTTATTTGCTTGATAACAATGTGAAACAATAACACAAAAATGCTATAATTGCTACATAACAAACCAAAGGAAGAAAATTCGTAAAACCGATGGAAGGAATGAAGGAAACACGTAGAGCTGCATTTACGATAAAAAGTCCTCTCCATTTCTAATTAATATTCGTTGGATTCCAAATAATAAAAAACTATTTTGTGCTGTGACGTGAAGTTCAATTAAACGAATTGACGTAAAAAAAACGAACGTGATCGCCATAATTTAATTATACGGTTCATTTTCTAATTCCGATTGGTTTCATTGACGAGGCCGGCCGTGAGTTTTTTGCAGCATCCGTCTGGTCATTGCTCTCATCTCGCGAGATCAGCAGAAATGAATCTGAGACACTGAAGCTGAGCTCTGGCGCATTGAACCCGATAGAATGTAATTGGCCAATTATCCGCACTTGTTCTAAGCTGCCGCCTCCTCTGTAAACATTGACGGCAACTGATGTGTTACATATTAAATGACACAACCATTTAGCTCGTCTCCGATTTTGCGTTAAAAAGGTCATTAATTGTACAGTATAATGTGAGTTTAAGTAGTTTCATTTGGTGTAGTGTTTGTAGATCATTTATGTAGTGTATAAAAATAATTTGGGGCTTATTAGTCCTGTCCTCGAACAAACGGTCGGGCCGTACAAGTTATCCCTCACGCTTATTTCGCTTTTTAGAGCTTATGTTTATTGAAGGGTTTGTAAAACTTTGCAGCTGTCCACCGGCCTATGACTATAACTGGTAAGTAGACAGATGAACTTAAACCAGAATTTAACCCCTAAAATTAAATATTTTCATACATTTCTACTTTGTCCTATCATTCGTAGGTGTAAACTATTTAAAAAAAAACACTATTTAAATAAATACCTAGTTTTGCTAACATTTATTCTAAATACAATCTAGTGTGAAATTAAATAAATTTTATAAGCAATGAGGTGGCCGAGGCTAGCATTTATTATAATAAGCTATCTCCATAAATCGTACAGTAGATGGGTGTGCACCGCGCGGGCGCAGCGCCGTGTTCGCGCAAGGTATTACAGTGGAAGGCGTTACGTCCTCGATGGAGAACACCACCATATTTATAGACTGATCTTTAGCCAGATGTTTGACGCTATTTATTGTAGGGAGGAATCGTGAACGTTTCAAGAATTGTTACATTTAAGGCACATTATTCATGTTTTTAGCTTGAGATTTGCTGCTAGATGTAAAAAGTTATTTAAGAATAAAGTGTTTGTGTATACATAAATAAATATATATGTTGGATCATTAACACACAGCACCATCTAGTTCTATGGTAAGCTACGAGCTCGGGGGAGAAGCCAACTCCTACCGGGCGCGTCCCCAGGTGGCCCCACATCACCACCTGGGGGATCAGGTGGTATGCGTAAATGCATTTCCCGACGATAAAAAAAAAATGGTACGCTACGAGGCTTGTGTTATGGATACCAGATAGTAGATACACTACACATATATAACTTTAAATGCATACATATTATAAATATAAACACCCATGACTAGATTACAAACATTCGTGCTCATCACACAAATGAATGCCCCCAGCGGGACTTGAACCCGCGACCGCTGGCACAGCAAGTAGGGTCACTACAAACTGAGCCAAACGTGTCGTCAAATCATGTTTTTGTGTTTGTCCTTGAATTTATAGAAGCAAATAACAAATTAGAAAGTAGGTAAATACAGCTTTCAGAAAGCTACATTGTTCCCATTTGCAGTTAACTAGAGAGCTATCTTCATTAGGATTTATATGTAATGGTGTAGTTGTGCATCAAGGAAGTAGATAGATATCTGATGATAAGGTCGTGAGGAGTAGGAGCTGACGTGATGGGGGCGGGGCCCGGCGGGGGACCCGCGGGGGCGCGGGGGACAGTGGGGGCGTGGCGTTGGGCCATTGGCGCGCGCTGAAACGATGCGAACAATAGCTGAAACGTGACGCCGCGCGTAATGCCCTGCGCTTTGTAATTTGGAGAGCTTATTAAAAGTTCTGTATGCATTTTTGTAATGTAAGATCTTCTGAGAACGATTGTCATGAAAACATACCTTGTGCTATCGAGAAATGCATTATGATAATTATATAAATGGTTTTTGTGATATTCTAACTAAGCACGTACTTATTGTACAATAGCGTTAGACAGTTATCATATATATACCTATACACTTTACAGTCTCAACTACAAATTCGAATTCTTTATTCTGAAAAATATAAAACAGATTAGATAAAAAATACTTCCGCTCAGGCGCAGATCCTGAGTTAAATTTTGGGGAGGGTCATAGGCTGAAATATACATATAATAAAACAGTAACTTAGCAAAATCTGTACATTAAATATTTTTTTAAAAACAATTGAGACCAGGCGTTTTAATTTCTGGCTTGCTGTGACATCTTATCGAAAAATATTCTTTATATAAATTTCATCAAAATCTGTCCCGTGGTTTTCTCGTGATGCGGTAACAGAAAGACTGACAGACAAAAATTCTAAAAACTATAGATTCGGACTCTGTATCGATAATAATGTCTATTTCAATTAGATTTTCCAAAAAAATGTTTAATGTACAGATTTGACTTAGTTACAATTTTATTATATGTATATATAGATTTCTGCAAAAACCTTTTGATATTCATGAAACTAGGGGAATATAATCTTCAAAATACATATAATAACCATTTTTTTTTAATTGAAATGTTTATCCGTTTATTCCTTCCTTTCTTAGACTTCAAACTTCTCTAAAAAGTATATTTGGCTTTGGGCGGGGGTCATGACCCCCATGATTCCCCCCCTGGATCCGCGCTTGCTTCCGCTACTGTCGTTTAAAATTTCGATAGTTAAATATATGTAGATGTACGAGTATATCAATACTAATAATATTATAAAGGAAGAAAAATGTTTTTTTGTAATGTACAACAAATTCACTGAACCGATTTAGATGAAATTTGGTATGAAGATAGTTTGAGACCCTGGGAAAGACATAAGAGTTTTTATCTTGAAAATCATCCTTTAAGGGGTGAAATGGGGGATGAAATTTAGTATGGAGAACCAATAATTTCTAAAGTAAGGGATATAAAACTCATCATACCTGTATATATACATATATATATATATATATATATATATATATATATATATATATATATATATATATATATATATATAAATATATATATATATACTAATATATAGGCTATCTATTCCGTATTAACATTAAAACGTACTTAGGGATGAAGCGAGGGTGACTCGCTAGAACTTACTTTATATTTTTAGATAGATTCAATTCACCACAAACAATACATTGCTATCATATTCTCCTCCTACTATTATTGATAGAAGGCACCCATGAAGACCATGAAGTAATACGTTAGTGGCATTTAATGCGCCCCGAATAACAACTGCCACTTACGATAAATAAATCCAAGAGTCGTGAGCAAAGTGTTCGGTGATCAATAGAAATGGATGTAGGTACTTTTAATTTTTTTGTAAAATCATATTATTATTTATATACATTATATAATTATTATATAATTTATCATTCCTTTTACAAAGAGAGTTGTGACATACGGGATGAAATCTTTAGCTATTTTTGTTCTGTTGCGCCGAAGAAGTATGACTTCTTACGTGCGTACATAAGTACAAACACGTTATTTTTTCTGATATTTCTGTTTCATAAATTTGGTTTAATATTTTACGTGGAATTTAATGTTTATTATTTTTCAGTTGATTTTGTATTCATGACTCAATATCTACGATCAAAAGTTGGGCAATGTGAAAGAATTATAGCCGTTTTTGTGTGACCTAACAACGGCACGACGCAGATTGAAAAGGCTAATAAATAACAAGCATTTGCATGTCCATTCCCAGTCTATCAATCATTAAAGTCTATATTTTTGCTGTACATCATAATTCGATCCTCATGGCAATGTTTCCTAAAGTGAACAATCGTACCTTAAAATGATTTTAGAATTAATTCTAAAAAAAATATCTTAGCCTAACTTTTATAAGTTGACTAGCGATTCATCCTCGCACGTATCTCGGCTTCGTCCCCAGACGTCCCAGACGTTTTAACGGTTAGTATAGATTTCTCAGAGATAAGATATTTTCCTGCAGTAAAAAGTATACTATATGTTGACCCGGATAACCAGCTAACATCATACCAAATTTCATCATAATCTGTCCAGTGGTTTTTTCGTGATGCGTTCCCGGACAGACAGATAGATAAAAATTCTAAAACTATAGATTCAGCCTCTGTATCGATAATAATGACTATTTCCATAAGATTTTCCAACAAAATATTAAATGAATTTTATTATAAGTATGTATAGAAATATCTAGATACATAATATGATAGATCAGATTAGATGGCATGGAAATCTACATGGTGGCAGTATATTTCCCTTTAACCTAACCTACCTACTTTCCTATTATCCTTAAAATTGAGTATGTAAATGATTTTACAGAGTGAATTCTTATTTGTACATATTTGTTAGTTGTTTAAGCCATTAGTTACGGATCAAAAGTTCATTGTGTTTAAATAAATAATCATATATAAATCATATAAAAAATATATTTATATATGATTTCATATTATATTGATCATAATAAAATAATTTGCTGAATGGTCGCGCAATATATGATTTATATTTCATAACATTTTTCTATGTAATACTATTTTTGCGCAAGGTAGCCTCAGCTTTTATATTTCAATAATTTGCTTACTAACCTGCGTAACCTACTATCTTGCGGTTTCATTTAGGTACCATAATGAAATTGCCCGTAGTTCAGTATGCTATTTTTTATGGGCAGTATCTTACAAGGTTCCAATTTTTAATTTCAAATTTTATGATGGAATTTCGCAAGCAAAGTATAGTCGTATAGCACATATATTAGTAGTTATAAATACTGTCTAAATGTGTACATAAAATAGTATAAGATGAAGGTTAGGAAGCGCTGGTGTATCCATTTTCCCTAGCTTTCCTCTCAATATATTTCACTCAGTGCGATTTATTTGCGTCTAAGTGAAGTGGACGTGACCCGCCGCCGCCAATCATGGCGAACGCGTATTTAATTTTGAAGGAGCAGAATGCTGTGAATAGGCCAACATTTACATAAAAGCAGTAATAAGATAAATCTGTCCGTAAAATATAACGCAGCCAGGAAAATCGTGCCTCGAGTGACGAGAGAGATTTCGACAAGTGTTGCGGCGAGGTGCTAATTACATGCCTTCCGCTTCACAGACATAGACGATGGTCTAATTTATATTATTTTTAGAATAATAGTCTATATATTTAGTAATGAATATTGTTTTCCCATATTATTCGATACATTCAAAAAGCTGTTTCTTCACTAGGAAAGTATTTATTTATACTAAGTATTATTTATTAACCATTTAGTAAGCAATTGCGCCTTTTTTCTCATACAAAACCTACAAGGTGTGATACCTGTTGCATTGAAAGCCTATTAGTTATGCGCGGGACAGACCATACACAGGCGAGTTATCCTCATTGTGAGAGTAAGTAGATGGCAGCAATCAATCAATATCACACTTTCTTATTTTACTCTACGTAAATGTCTGATTACCTTTTTAAGACAAATATCAAGTCTTTAATTCAATATATGAGCAATTTTCTTACTTTTTTGCTAAATTTATGAATGCGATTACTTTTAAATATGAGGTTTTGCCTTTATAAAACGGAAAGTCATAAAAGCACTCATTTGAAGCGATTGCGAACGTTTAAAGCGAAATATGGTGATGTGGCGTGGTGAAGTGCGAATTCATATGTTTGTGATTTCGGAATCGACGCGAGAGCACAATTAAGTACGTGAGGGGACTGCGAGCGGACACGCGCGGCGCATACGAACTGTCTGTAATACGTCGCTGGTAGCGTGGCCAAGGGTTTGCGCAACTTGGGACGAAATAGTTTTAACCTATTACAGATTTGACAAATTTTAATAATATTTGTTAAATATGAATTATATATCTACTCTTTCCTCGTTCTATTTAAACCGATCTCTTGTCTCCTATTTTACGAGTAAGAGTAAGTTTATTTTCATATTTATTTCCGTACTTATCACAGTTATTATAGATAATAACTATATAGTCCCACAAGTAGTTGTGGGGCTATATAGTAATTATCTATCCCGTCAGAAATAAAGTTATACTATGAATATGTCAGTATTACAACGGGTTTCAAAATTCATCAAGTTTTTTTTAATATCTTAGCGACAACGATGGTGACTCTACGGACAATGTAAGTCAATGACAAGTGAGCGAGTAAGTGATTTGTGAGGGCTCTCCCATGATCGATCTATCCCGGAGCTGAATCCTAAAGGCCTGATCCTATATTAAGACATTTATGGTAGCTTTGTTTAACGGCGCTATATCTTTTGTTCGCGAAAACGCTTTTAAAAAGATTTATTTGTTTTGACGCCCTTATTGATCTTTTCTCAAGATCGCGATAATCTTACTTTCGATATCTACGTATTTTTTATGTCATTTTATGGTAAATATAAAAATTGTTGTCACGAAATAATATATAGGAAATATGTATTGCTACTATATAGCTTTTACAATAGGTTTTTGGAGTTAGATATTGATTAATCTTATGCTACTGCAACCTTCAAGAGGCACGGTCATGATACATGGATAAAAGTAAAGTACGTACGGTAGTAGTTTCACAGAATACCAATAGAGACTATATCTCTCATCCCCGCTTTCTCCTCACATATCCTCCATCCTCATCATCTCAGGTAGAGAAGCGTGAATTTTGCCCCTGGCACTGCAACTACACATAAGCTATTAATTTTATTACGTTAATATGTCGATAAATAATATATATACGTATTAATAGAATGCAAACTAGACATAATATTCTAAGTTCTAGCTAGTAATATTTATCGACATATTAACGTAATAAAATTAATAGCCTATGTGTAGTTGCAGTGCCAGGGGTAAAATTCACGCTTCTTTACCTGAGATAATGAGGATGGAGGATATGTGAGGAG